GGTCAGCACCTCGCCGGTGTCGGTCGTCCGTTGACCGCAGCGACTCAGCACCACGCTTCACCTCTCCGTTGACAGCATTTTCGAGATTCGTGCCCAGTAATCGTCATTTCGTATTACTTGCTATTTTGTGGCGCATTCTTGTTTGAGTGGTTTGTTGAGCAATTTGATTGCGGAACGGGGGCTGCACTATTGCTATTTTCTACACACTTGTTGTTCACGTCTGTGCATATAAGGTGTTTGTTTGTTTGCCTGAGTGACGTTCGTATTCGAAATGGTGCGAAAAGGGGCCGGTNTACGAGCAAGACTACATGTATCCCGAGGAGATCGAGTACGGCTTGAGAGAGCACTCGAACTCTTTCCATGGGTACTCCGAGCCACCAATTGCGCGAGATCCCAGCCCATCGCTAGAGGATATGGTGAAGGCACTAGAGGCTCACACGTTGAGATTTCTGCAAGAACACTGCAAGCCATTAGTTGAGAGAGATCCTGGTCCATCGCTTGCGGATATGATGAAGGAGTTGATGACTAACACTCTTAACTTTCAACAAAGTGTTGAGGTGAGCATCAAGAGCCAAGAGATGAGCATCAAGAACCAAGGACTACGCATACAGAATTTACAAGGCCAAATGAGCCAATTGGTGGAACAGATGGACCGACTAGTGTATCGGCTAGAAATGAGTCCAATGAGTTCGAGCGTCATCCATACGTACAGCGAGGACCTCGAGGAAATTGAAGAGTGCACACACGAGCCGGAGAACGAGAAAATCACGAATATCGAGAAGAATGAGAGCGAAAAAGAGAACCAAGTTGCAGAATATGGGGCTGAGCAGCAGAATACGGAGGTACCCCATACTCGACCTGCTGTAGCCAAAAACCGTACCGTTCTACCCGCTCTTGTGCCGATAGAAGCTGAACTGTGTCCCATGTATTCTAATATGAAGTGGGTACTGAGCAAGGTTGGACTGAAGCATGTCTTGGGCCTTGATATACCTTCTCTTGAGACGATCGAGCAAAACACAAGGTGTGAATGGGATTTTGTTGAGGCGGTGACTGTGATCGAGCGTGGGTTGCTACACATCCTTGAGGAATTAGCATCATGGAGGAAAGATCCGGTGAAGCACCCGACACCGAGGATAGGGGATGCAACCAAACATGGTGCCGTGAGATTTGTGGCTCCCTTAAGGCCACCTCAGAAGCCGCCATGGATCCTTTGATGAAAGGGAGTAATAAGTCGGGCCAACGACAATAAAAAGAGGCGCTTGTTGGGAGGCAACCCAATGGTGTGCATGGTTCAGCGACTTCTTCGCATTGACTAAGGTGAACTCGTTTCTTTTACCTCTATTTTTATTCTTTTGAGTTATTTGAGTGTCGATGATATATGCAAGCTCTAAGTTTGGGGAGGTGGTTTCTTGGTGAGCATTCATGATTTATTATGTCATTATATTTTTGCCCCTTAGAGTTTGAGTTCTTAGATTAATTTGCATGATGTTTGTCTTGTGTGAGCGTGAGATTGCATTTACGTGGAATTTTACGATGATGACATGAGAGTCGGATTGAATTTATTGTGCTAGTTTAAATATCTTGAGTTAATTTTATTTGGTTAAATTCTTGAGGTGTTTTTTATTTTGGGGACAAAGGCATGATGGTTGATATTTTTGTGACTTATTTGTGGTGAGTTGGTTTTGAGGCGATTTGTATTGTTGATATGTGCTTATGATTGCTTTAATCAATGTTAATTAAGTTTGGGGACTTGAAGTTGAAAGTTGGAGTTTCTATGTCTCATAGTCAAAAAAAAGAATAATGAGGATGGAGGAATAATTGGTGGAGTTGAAAAGCCGTTTGACACAAAAAAAAAAAAAAAAAAAAAAGAGAGGAAAAAAAAGAAAAAAAAGTGACCAAATAGGGTCGCACAAATAAAACACCAAAATAAGTTGGGTGTAAACGTGTGTTTTTAGGAGAAGTGTGGGGGAGGTCTGGTTTGTTTGAGTAACCGGTTGAGCGTGCATTCTTGGGTTAGGGGTTTGAATTATTTTCGAGCCACTTAGCCTATATTTATCCTACCTGTCCAAAAAGCGTTATAACCCTGAAAGACCTTTTGATTCACTAGTTGTAGTTTTTGATTGGTTTAGAGTAGAAGTTAGACAATGAGCAAGCTTATGATTGAACTTGCTATCGACCGATTTGAGTGCATCCATATCTTTATCTGTATAAGAAAGTGAGTGAGGCACACATATACATTCCCATATTTGAGTGGACGTCATATTGAAGTCTAGCGATCAAGCATGTAGTCGTGTTATGCTCGTATATGCCGTTTGAATGCTCATTGTTGAAGTTGAACGTGTTGAGACTTATTGTGTGATCTACTGATGTCCAGACTCGTTTTTGTTTTGTGTCTTTCCTTTTCTTTTCTTCTATTTTCTTTTCTTTTCTCTTTGTTCGGGACGAACAAAGGTCTTAGTGTGGGGGAGTTGTTTGTCCCATTTTTGTTTCTTTATTTCATGTTTATTTTCTTTTTGTTTTCCCACATTTGTAGGTTTTTCGTAGTTTATTTGGTCCATTTCGTTCGTTTCATGTTTTTACCTTTAGTTTATATTTTTGTATCTTTTTGCCGTGTTTTGCTTTGTGTTTTTCTGGTTTTTGTGTTTTCAGGAGATAGGTTGTGCCGGTCGAGGTTAGGATTGCGTGTGCAGAGACTGTGATATCGAGAATTCCCGTGGCCGAGCCCAGAAGACGACGAAAAGGACTGAAAAACGGACAGAAAACGCGCCCAGACATTCTCGCGACTCGCGAGTCGACTCGCGACTCAGGTCGCGACTCGCGAACATGTCGCGACCCGCGAGAAAAAGTGGGGCTAATGTGCAGTTCACGAGACGGAGCCGCGACTCGCGAGTCTAGGTCGTGACTCGCGAGTCTAGGTCGCGACTCGCAAGATGATGTCGCGACCAGCCCCAGAAGTATATCATTTTGAATTGTTTTGGAGATTGACAAACTCTTATTTCTTGCTTTGGATTTGGATGCACTTGGATTTGACGTTGGATTCTCTATATTAATCGTAAGTTATTTTTCTCAATTGCTTTGTTGATGATGATGGCTTGGGTTAAGTTGAATGTTGATGTTAAATTCGTTATGAGTAGCAAAATCCATTCGCTGGGGATAGGGGATGATTGATTAGGTTCGTTATAATTGAATGCTTTTGATTGTTCATGTCTATTCGGGTTGTGTGAATCATAGGGTTAGTAGATTGATCACCTTTCTAACCTAGATAATCAACGTGTAGAACCGAGAGGGGAGAGGTTGGTAGAATTAGGCTCGTTTAGAATAGATTTGTTCGGAAACGTATAATCTATGTGTTGTTGGAATTGATAGTTGATTGTTTACGTTCACTCTCTTGTTACGAAGAGTTATTGAGAGTGAACCTCTGAACAAGAGACGATTCAAGACCTTTAACCGAGCAATCGATTGCCGGTGATTGTGTTAGAACCAAAAGCAATTATCTCTGATTCCCTAGCATTTTAATCATTCAGTAAATTCTTTTGCAATTTTTCTTTCATTTTAAGTTCAAATCAGTAGTTGATAATCAAAACCCCAAATATTGAATTCGAGTGTTTAGGAATTCTTTTTCTCTTTTTCGTGATTGAATATACGCACAAGAGTATCCGGCTAACCTTCCTTGCGATACGACCCGGGGACGAATCTTTCGTTTCAACTCCGGTAAAAATACAGACAACTGTGCCATTGAAATTACATGACTGCCCTTGGAGGTATTTATTTGATCAAAGAAAAACACATATTTACAATTTTGGCATACATGTTAGACCATTGTTATTTAATTTTGACTTTATCATGCCCATTGATTGTACCGATCCAATAGTTTATAATCGTTCTTATTTCTTTCACTATCTACCATTCTCATATGATCCATTTTCTCTCTCTCTCTTTCTCTCTCTCTCTCTCTCTATATATATATATTGGTTTTCTATGCCAAAATAAATAAAAATGTTATTAATTTTAAAATGAAGGCTCCCAGCCATAATTTTTTCAAAGATATACTTAATCTTGAAATGCAATATTATACTCTAAAAACAAAATAAAAAAAATTATGGCCTTGTTTGGCAATCAGCGGTTAGCGGTTAGCTGTTAGCGGATTATATCAGTTGTTTTGACCAGCGGATTGTATTGGCTGTTTTGACCGGCGGATTACATTAGCAGATTGTTCTGAAGCGTTTGATAAAATTAGCTTATTGATATTAATAAATTGAATAAAATAAGTAATGTGAGTAAATATATAATTACTCAAGTAATAATAATAACAATAATTTATTAAATATGTATAAGAAAATATGAAAGAACTTAATTTTGTCGATCAAATTTGAATAGTATTAATTAATTTCAATTCTNGACTCGTTCTTATACCATATAACTGAATTCAATTTTTTTTTTCGGATACTAAATTAATTTCAGTTTATTATATCGAAAATAACATAATTTTACTTCTATCTTATTCAAACAATGTTTGTTGGCGTCTGTTCTATTTGAGAAATAGCTCGATTTTATCAGCTGATAGACAACCAAAGTTTCAATAAAACAAAAAGTAAATAATTATTCTATACAACAATAAATTATTTTTATATTTCATTTAATTTCTTAATACTAAAAATAAATTCTTGTAGACCGGTTTTGAAAAAAACCTATATCATGCACCCTACTCACACATGTACATATATCATGTACACTACTCACACATATGTTACTTTTGACCTTTTAAAAGGTTATTAAATGACAATCAAATTAATCAATTAATTCCAAGCACATCCGCCAACCGCCAACCGTCAACCCTCCAAAATGTAGCTTTTTCGCTTGATACTGGTGCAACCGTATCAAGCATCCTTGCAGGGATCGAGGGCCGCCCCCGCCGAAGGAATTATCCGTCCAGACCCATCATAAGACAGGAGCAGGGAAAAGCGCCGATTGAAAAAAAAAAAATTCACAGTTCAAAAATTTCACCCCTTTTCATACAGTCTAAAAATTCACAAACAGAAATGAGGTCATGGGCTTTAACAGAAACAGAAAAAAGACCAAAAAAGAAAAAAACGGCAATCACAATATAATTCAGATCAATGCCAATGTGGGTTTTAAAATTTTTTATGAAAAGGCCGAGTCTTTGAGATGGGTTCATGTGATCGTCATTAAATCAAAGAAAAACGGGGTGAGAAGATTGAAAGCAATCAGATATACGGTGAAAAGGACTTCCAACTTTGTCCGATCTAATGAAAGCAAACTAATCAAGAATCAATAAGAGAGCTAATAGTTGGGAAAATTTTCAAAAANAAAGATAAAAGAATAGAGAAAATACTAACCTGACCGTGTGTGAAGAAGAGAAAAAGAAGAGAAGAGGAGAGACGTAATTGATGGGAAATTACCATGTAAATACGAATGAGAAGTTACCATGTAAATAGGAAATCAGTCTTTTAGGCATATATACAAATAAATATAACAAATTTGGTTAATTTGTAAATAATTATATAGGAAATGTAATTATGTAATATTTTCAAATTATTTAAGTGGAGAATGTACTTTTCTCTTTTCAATTTTAACGTTTCTGGCCCAATCAACTGGTATAAAAAGCTACCCAACCAAACACATTAATTTGGTATTTTGATTGGGTCAAACCCGTTATTATAGCGTTTTGGGCAAAAACGCTGGAAACCAAACGCAAGCATAAGTTTGATTATTTGATTAAAAAAATAAAGGGTCAACCCACACAAAGTCAGGCCGCTCACATGACATGTCTTGAAAATCAAAGAATCACGCAATGGAATAAAAGTATCTTCCTAGGAATAAATTTCGTATTCCCTCCATACTCCCATTTGACTTTAGAACACGTTAAGGTTCCATGTAACTTCTCCTCTTGGACCAGACTAATGATTTTGATGGCTGCCGTGCAATCTTCCATTATTTAGCTAGTAAATTCAAACAAACATGATTTTGTCAACCTCTTCAGTTAAAACCTTGCCAACCCAGATCAGAAGATTTTGTTATTAATATTATTATATTATTATCATAGCAAATAACATCTAAAAGTCGAAGGTCATGATAAATAAGCACAGCTGGAACTGAACTGAATTCCTCTAACAAAGCCGAAATGAATATTCCATCTCACTGTAGCCTATACTTGACCAACAATGAGTGCATCACAAAGTTTGGCCCAAATTACAACAACGGCTTGCAAGACAAAATCGAGTCCCCTATTCCATGGATCGGCATGTTCACCGCAGCAGCTTCCGCAGCCTGCTCACTTGCCATGGCAGTTGATGCCGTGAGCGCCATCCGAAACAAGAAACTCTGGGTCCCATGTAAGTATTTCTCTCTCAACGCCTTTTCCCTCACAGTCCTCGCTATCGCCATGAAGCTTCCCGTCGACCTCACGACTCGTATGCCCGGAATCAACGACAAGCTTTCACGGGTCAGTAGCCTCGTCCTCATGTCCACCGCAATAGCCAATTTCATGCCGTCCTTGGGATCCATGGAGGACAATGAGATCCCGCTAAATCTAGCCGCGCTTGCTGTTTTTGTTGTCACTGTTGCCGGCAATGTTTTCATTCACGTGGTCCAACTGAGGAATTATTACGTCGCGAGAGTGACGCTAGCCGAGAAAACGGCTTCCACCGTTTTCGCGCTACTTCTGCTCGTGACACTCTGTTCCCTGGCCGTGATGGTCCCCGTTGCCAGGCGACACATGGAGTCGCAGTACAAGCAGATGCACGAGAGGATAATTAGTTTGTCAGGAGGAATAGTAAACCCCTCGGCCGACGAGCTGAGGGTGGCGGTGCGAAAGTATTGGGTGATGGCCGAGAGCCGAGCCCTACAGTTCGTCGTGGCACGGTCAGTCGTGTCCGCTACCTCGGGCGCTTTGTCTGTGCTGGTGGCTTTGACTCTCGTGGAAGCTCACATCCGGTTGACATTAGTTTATAGGGATGCGCTGCGCCTGTCGTCCAACTACAAGTGGTCTGTGAACTGGATATTGGGCATTCAGTCTGCCGGCGTGGCGCTGGGAATGGTTGCTCCGCTTTTGAGATGGTTCTCGGCCGCTCGTCTGAAGAGCGCCGAGATCGGACGGAGGAGATTAACAGAAGAGCTTCAGATCGAGGCTTACTGGACCCAGTTGCTCAAGGACTGGAGGGACCGACCTCTGCCCTTGAGAACCGGACACCACCGGTTCAGGAAAGCCGCCCATGAATCAAAGAGGCTCCTCCTCAGCCTCTGCATAGGGCTTCAGATCCTCATCATCCACACGAGCAAACTGATTCTGCTCGGCTCGGCCATCCTCGTGAGATGGCTGACGTGCTGCTACGACAACTCAGTTGGCCCGGACGAGACGAACCCAGACCCAGACCTTAACCACTACGTTCTTCTGCTGGAGGGCGAAGCAGAGCTGCCACAACCTGCTGTGGCAGGCATGTGCCGGGCGGTGGACGGGCTGATCGAGACGGGAAAGAGGAGAAAGTTCGAGAGGCTGATCGTGCTGCTCGGAAAGTCCCACGGCGGGTTCGACGGCGTGTGGGAGTTCGACGGAGGCGCGAAAATCCGAAGCCTAAGCTCGCCAGAGCCGCCCAACTGCTGGGCCCTGCCGCTGGTCACCCTGACCAGCATTGCAGTTTCTGTCGCCGACAGTGGGCCCGCCGCCAGTCGGCTACTGGCTGCCGTAGGCCAAGGCCTCTACTTCACGAGGATAATAGAGAAAGCCCTCGATCCGAACGGGAAACTGGCGGGCGTGAGGAACGCGGCCGAGAGCGCGTGGGTGAGGCTCGAGCTGTACCGGAAGTGGCAAGGCGAGGATCTGCGGAGGAGGTCGGGAGCTCTTGAAAGGCTCTCCAGCAGTGCAGAGAAGACGGTCAGGCATTTCGTGGAGGAGCCTGCGAACAGATTCCTAGCGCGGGACCCACTCAACTGGCCCGCGAAGGTCATAGCTGCCAACTCAATGTACAGGATAACACGGACATTAATGATCATGAGGGAGGGCGAAAATGATGATGATGATGATGGGCTGTTTGATAAAGTGGAGATGATGATATCTGACATAGTGGCAGCTTGTTTCACGAACTTGGCACGTGTGATAAGCAAGTCCGTGAGAGGAGGGGAAGAGAGCATGTGCCGGGCTGCTCTTCTTTTGGGCGAGTGCGAGGAGGTTCTTGAAACGCTCGAGCGGACGCGTGGGCTTCCGAATGTTTGTCCGGACAAGGCGGCCACTGTTGACGGGTGGAGGGCTTTCTTGGAGCAAGAGTTTGGAAACACATAATTAAAACGAATATATAGGTAGCAGCCATTTGACTCAACACTACTCGTTCAAGGCATGACGTTGAAAAACTAAATTTAGATAATTTAATGCAACAGTACTTGAAAAATGTTTGTTCATTCCTACAACCATAAACTGTAGCATCTACATAAGTGGCAGTACTCTTATAAGAGAATAGGTTCTTTTATATGGTTACTTAATTTATACATGAGGAATAGTTTGTTGGCCAATTTTTTATATATATAATATTTTTAGTTGTGTATGTTTTATTTGATTTTTTTATTTTTATTTTTTTTTGGTGTAGAATAGTATGTAAGAATATTTTTTGTTCTTATTATCGTGAACCGCATAATTAGATGGACCTAATTGAATTAATAGTCAAACTTAATATATATTTAATAGATTAATACTGTTCTAATATTAAAGAGTCCAATTTGTGATGTTTTACTTGACAATAAATTAGGTTAGAATATGGGAATTTTAGTAGAATTTGACTTAGGCAATAGTTAGGTTAGAATATGGGATTAAGATTGTAGTCTCCTCCTATATATACTATTACATGTCTCTCTCGACTCATACAAAATAAAGTTCACTACAATTCAATTTAAATATTAATGCAAAAATCTATATTCTATGAAATGATAGAATTACGTGAGTTTATTCAATTCTGTCTAATAATGATAAATATGTCCGTTGAATTTCTTACATGTGATATCACATCATGTATTTATACTTTATTAAATTGCCGATTATAGTTTAATGGGTTATAGCTGCAATTTTGTTTTACGGTTATAAATTTATGGCTCCTTTCGTGCACAAAAATTTAACTACAGCGTTTCGAGATTTTGATTATTCATGCCGGCAGATCCACTTGCCCATGAGTATAATTTTATTCCTCATTTTTTTTAGCAAGAAATTAATTAATGCGTTTCGAGATTTTGATTATTCATGCCGGCATAGATACTTGCCTATGAATATAATTTTATTCCCCATTTTTTTTTTCCTCATGATTGAGAAAGAAAGATAGTGTTGAGGTTTAGAATTTTATTTACTAAAAATGCTACAAATACATAATAAATGTACATAGAAGTGTACATAACATTCACATGGAGTGGTGTCCATTTGATTTTTTATTTTTGGTCGGTCCCACTCCATGTCAGTATTATATACACCCTTATATACAACTAGTACAGAGCTCGTGCAATGCACGGTGTGCACAATTTTAAGGCTATTTATCCAGACTTAAAATTATATACATGAATACAGAAAAATGTACGAGATATATATAGTACGTGACCCGTGCGAGGCACGGGATATATTTATTTGAGGAATACTATATTATAAGATGCAATATTCAATAAAAGTTTTATAATACGCAGGAAAATTATACAATAAGATAGTATTCGACAACCAAACAATTATATATTATTAAAGACATACTTGTACACAACATTATGAGTTTGATTTTCCATACAATAATAATAAGATTTTTTGTAAAAAGATAAGAAGGAATTTTCAATCTACACAAACTTTAAACATTAGATATATTTATGTAAATCAATAACTATACAGACAACTAAACCCTTCAATTTAGGCTTGACATCTACTTTATTTATGGGTGACGTAAAATAAGAATTTAATTTTGACCGATTAAATCTTTATTCATAGGCTTGACATATAAAATTGATTTGATGGAATTTTCTTAAACTAAACCGATGGTATGGGATAAAACAAATCTATACTTACCTTTGACTTTTCCAGCAGGTAAAAAAATCGATTCTGATTTTTATCCCATAACAAATCTTTAATGTCAAGCCTATAAATACCATAACAAATCTGTAATTAATATCATTCTATTTCCAGCAAGCATTAATTACCTTTGACTTTTCTTCCTACTATTTCTAGTAATTAGGATGACTTTTTATATAAGTATAGATTTCATATAATGGAAAGACTGAGATCATAAAAAAGAATCATAAAAACTGAAACAATATATTTGCAGAATTTAAGGCCATTAAGAAATCGATCTCTAAACCAGATTTGATTTTCAGAATATGTTTTTTCATTTCAAATTCCATACAAAATGGAATTCTTTCCAACCAATGGATGTCATAGCAAATATTAACTCTTAACTATTAAACTATTAGTACATACCGAGCAAATTGTGTACTGATTTTAGAAAGTTAAAATGATTCATGTTAAGTAATTTTACATTTTATGCATGTTGAACGGTGGGTTTTAAATATTGTTTCATAGAATGTAAAAGTGTATTATATTATTTTTATGAGATGTTGAATTTGAAAATTAATAGAATTCTTCTTCATAGGAATTTTAAATGTAATAATATTCTTTGGTATACACTACTAATAAAATCTATATTTGAAGTTTATATTTTTTTTTACCGGAAAAAATTCCTTAATTTAAGGAATCATATATCTTCAATCAGTCCACATCTATATACATTCTTCACAATTTTAAATCTTGAATTTGATGAGAATTCGTATCTATGAGTGCAAAATATGGTTTAACAAATTAATTTTTTATTATTATTCCAGCCATACTTCTTTATACGATTTTTTGTGAAAATACAAAAGTAAATTCTTAATTTTAAATCAGTCGTACATTAAAGAGTACAAATTTGTTGAAATTACAAAAGTAGTTTTTTACTTTTAAACAGACGTAAATTTAAATCAGTCATTAATAAGTAATACTTGTTTACCATTTAAATATTAAATCAGCCGTAATTAATGTTGTTTGTTTTAGTTGCCACGATTTTCTCCAAACTAAATTAACAACTGCCATGATTTGGGCAACATTTAATGATGCTCTATTTTTAGGAGACATTAAATGTATTTGGCGGGAAAAACTTGCTAAAAGTGTTAAATGGTTAATCTTTTAATATAATAATAGATATTATGTACTCATAACATTTCTCTTTATTTACATTCTGTTTCAAATTGTTGGATATACGACCGAGTAATTGAGAATTATTTGCGAATGAAGTATTTGCTAATGGTTGGGAACCATCCCCCAACAATTTCACAATTCAAAACAATAACATTAAATAGAGTATTTGACAAAGTTGATTAAATAGTTACTCCACTTATTTGATCTCTTTCCTTATTTTTTTTTTCAAACGACAATTATATTAATAACTTAAAAACTCAAAAGAGTACAACCGAAGTGTCAAGTGACACACGGTAACCAGAAGACTAGACCAGCCCCCATTGTCAATACACACAAGGGGGTACAAACTCCATCAAGGAGACGAACAACCACAAAACAAAAACTCCAAAAAAGAGACACTAACTCCATATTGGAGAGAAAAGCAAACAAGTTGCACTAAAAGCAGACATAGCTGCACTAAACGAAACAAAACAACAAAATAAAGACCAAAATCAACACACACCTAATAAACAACAAGACAGATTAAACCTCCCCTAAACCTAACAGCTAAAACCCAAAACCACTTGAACCATCTACCAAGTCACACCCCAATAAAGAACACCATTTGAGCAACAAAACTAGGCTCCAAACCCGAAAACTGCGGTTACTCTACCGCCTAGACGGATTTTCGGCCAAGATTTGAGCACCAAAAACCTTCATCGTTGGGGAAAAGAAAGAGAGCCATCACGAACCCACCGGAGGACTCAAAGGGAGAGATCGAGGAGACGACAACCTGCAACCGAGCCGCCCGGCCCGAAGGACCTGCAACCCGGCTGAATAGAGGCGCACGGGACCGCTGGATGGGCTTGCCCAAGCCAAAGTCTGTCTCCAAGAAGAACATTACCGCACAGATCGAGCCTCCAAATGGACCGACGAACTCCCGCTGCTAGGCTTTGCAAGAGTAGCCGACGACCTCGCCGGAGGCAGGGAAAAAACCGAGGAGCGAAAATCGCCACTGGCCAACCACCCACAACACTCTTGGAGGCGGAAAGGAAGCACCCAGTCGCGACTTGGCCAGAAAGGCCCGATGACCACAGGATCACGCTGCCGGAAGAGGGGGGGTTGCGTTGAAATAAGATTTTTAGTTCTGGGGGAAGTTTTGGTGTAGTAAGTTGAAATGTTTTGTTTTCTGTTCTTTTTCGTAGCAACATTTTCGATCTCTTTCGTTGCACTTAGAAATTTCACTTGTTATGCAATCCTTATCAGTTGGTTCAAGCCTAATCATCTGAATTGCCGTCAAAATTCCCTCATCAGTGCCAAATTTTCATTCATCGTTGCCAACGTTTAAAAAATTGCACCGAAGTATTTTCAGTAAGCCGAATAAAGTGACTTTTGATTACAACATCTCATTAACAAATTTGATTCCAGAACCACATGTCATAATGACAAATTGAGAAGAAAAAAATAATAAACCAAATAAATATAAAACTTTGGAATAAAATATCATTTTAATCTCAAATATGTTTCTTGAAAATTGTTGAAAAAATAATGTTAACTGGAGGCTTAAAACGAGTTTCAATAAATATACGAATTAAGAATTGTAAATAAAAAAACAATAAAAAACACAAACATCAGGCACGAGAACGAAAGATGAAACCAGATTTCTAGTAGTAAATAAATTACTATAAGAAATAATAACTTAACTAAAAGTCCTATATTCTCATAGGATACATATAACCGAATCACATAAATTTATTTGTCTTGAAGAAATAGTTGCCCGATACTGTGCAACGAGTACTATGCCTTTCTTTCAAGATAAGACGACTAAAAGTGTGAAGACTGTACTATCTTCTACGCTCACTTCGACTAAAAACTCAATTGTCAAGACCCTTACTTTTTCTTCAGGACGTAGGAGATTAAAGGTAAAATAAGAGTGATTTCTTCTTCTCTTAGTGTGATGTCTTGTATGTTTCTCATGAACTATATATAATTTTTCAAAGACAAGGAAAATTTAATGTATGAGAAATAACTTAAGGTGTGGAAGAGGAATAAGCACGAGGGTTATGATGCCAATATGACTCAAAATTGAGATGGGCATGCTTGATTTCATTTTGGAA